GCTATGGGTTGTGGAGGAGAACAATCGCCTCTGACCGACCGACACCTTCAAATGTACGGACGAAAGAGATAACCATCAAATTGTGGTCAGTGTCGACGATTTGTCTTGAGTTTAATTGTAATAGGTGAGAAGATGAAAGATACACTCAAGGGAAATGCATCGATTTTTATCGTGTTTTTGGAAAGCAGAGAATCATGAGATCACCATCCTGAGCTAGAAAAAAATTAAACATTTAAACGTGAAATTAAAACAGAAATGCGATGAAACAAATTTCGCCCTGCAATGTTAGAGAAATCACCTTAATTTTTTACAAATAAGTAACATTAGCATGATGATCATTATTATAATGATGTTTGATTGGAATAGGCAATCTGTTGCATATCTTTCCTCCAAAGTTCAAGTTCCAGGAGGAGGGGTCGGGTGACCGAGCATTAATTCGCCTTGCGCAATTCGCAGAAAAGGTGACGCCATCCTGATTATTAGTCACCACAATCCCTCGCTTATTACATACGCGTCGCAAGAAGTGTATTAAAGTTGTCAAGCCGGGGAAAAACGCCTCGGGTGCCTTCCTCATTGGCACCGGACAAACAAAAAAATCTAATCGAGGAGTCACCGCTCAAGATCGGAATACGAAAAAAATTTCGCTCTCCATCCGCGTCAGGTGAACAAACTGCGTTGGCCGCAGCGCCGTACGATTTCGTGGACTTTCCTTCTGCAAACGCGCGCGCGGTCGAGACTAGGGCAAATGACCTCATCAGGCAAGGCTGTTTCAAGGCCGTGTTATTGGCATTTATATTCCTCCTTCAATGCAGCTGTTTTGTAAGAAGCAGCCGGGGGGCGGGGATCGGCGAGAAAATTTTCTCTGGCAGGGCCAGGATATAATAATGCGGAGATTTGTTCCAAGCAGATTTGGAGAATTGTTCCATGCACTTTTTTAAATCATCTTTATCATGTACTTTAATAAAAGCGTAAAAAAAGTTAAAAGTTCGTCAAATTTTTTGGATTTCTTTACAAAATTTACAAATCTTCTGAAATATTTTCTAGTTTCACAATAATTCGTTTTTTTATATCTATAACTTGTACTTGTCTCCAAAATAGAGAAAATTTTTGTATAAAATGTTGTACTTTTCAGCGGCTAAGCTTATTTTTTAAATAATTGTTTTAACTGGTTTCAAGTTCCAGAGTAAATTTAATTACACTTTATTTTAGTTTTTATCATCTACCTTTAATTACAATTTCTTATTTCCTTCATTTATTTTTGTGCAATTAAAAACGAAAAATGATTAATTAAATAATATTTGAAGTAATGACTCTTTGAATGCTGTAATTAAATTAATATTATAATAATGGTTTGCTTAAGTTTATTTCTTATGCCTACATATTTTTTTTTGTTCAAACCCTCTAAATTTTATTTCCGTGGAACAAGTCACCATTTACCATGTGTTGCATTGAGCAGGTGTGGAATAACTAGGCATGGAACAATTGCCCTACGATACGCGGGGACCAATTCATAACCTCCTCTCCATTAGGAAAACTCTGCAAGTCGGTTGTTCTGGTACACCGCCTCCAAAGTTCATTGTCACGGCCTCTCCTAGGACATTACACCGCCTGATCCGAATCTGATGCAAGTGCGCTCGCTGCTGCTTCGTTTTATATATAAATTTTTATGTATACTCTGCCGTGTGCTCTTGTTGCCGCTCGATATTAATTATGAATTACAGCACCGCTTCATTAATTAGTGCGCGCATTCCGGCTCGGTGCCAGTATGATCGCATCTCTTTCTTTCTCTCGCTTGCATTTTCACTTGACACGGCGCTGAATAAGTCGTCTAATTAGAGCTGCAGCGAATATTCGCCGGATAAATAATATGCGTCGGTAAACAACCGCAGATTAAAATATAATGGCTTATCTCATTAAAATCTCCAGACGCTGCTGATTTAATTCCTTAGGCCGAAGAATTCTCTTCGGTTTTATTAAGTTCATAAGTTTGAGTTTCGAACAATATTTTTTTGACCACGCCTTGAACAAACATGCCATTGGAGGAGTAAATATTTTAAATTTCATGATTGATTTAATTTAATTTTTATTTAGAAGTTTATTCCTGGTTGGAGATTAGAAATATTGGAGTTTTTACCTTTTGCCTTCAAATTTAAATGCAAGTAAGATGAGGACAAATTTTTCAAATACCGTATATATTTCATGTTTCTATTTACTCTATAAGTGCTGTGACATATTATGAAATTAAATTAAATTATAGACGGTGTTATGTTCTTATTTTCCTACTCTTAGGTACAATTTTTTAGAATACCGGGTTTCAGTTCATCGACCTTGATTGTAATCTACTTAAATGATATGTTTTTCTTTGGACCTTTAAAAGTATCCCTTCAAATTCTTAAATTTGCTTGCATTAGTCCAATAACCTAAGATTTAGAATGGATGTATGGTTTTGCTGAAAATAATTTCGTGGATATAATAATCATAATAGCACAAATTGAATAGTATAATTGATAAAAATTTATAAATACATAATTGCACACCAATAAACTAAATATGTACTAGTAAAGACCTCATCTACGAATGTTCTTATAATTGATATTCATAATTGTGTTTCATGGTTGGTTGGACCTTATATAAATATCAAAATTAATATCAGAATAATTTTTTTATACGGATTTCAGGTTAAATCCAAAATCAGAATAATGATTATAATGAATTAATTATAAATTTAAATTTTCAATAATGAAAAATAAAAACCGGTAAATTATATTTTAATATATTTTTAAACATCTAATATTAATAAAACTTGTTTATATTTAGAACGTATTACTTGTAGTAAAATATTTTGCCTCCTCATGATATCATGATATAAATTATCGTTTGCTTGATTCTTAATTGTAAAATTAGCATTTCAAAGTTTTAGAAATCAGACTGGCCATTGTAAATTTACTTTTTAATCCAATTGCTGCATTTTTTTTACTCTCACCAAAAACTATTTAAAGATTATAATTATTCATTGAATAGATATAGATTAATTTTAATTTCTGCGACAGAAAGACAACGTTCTTCATAAAAAAAAAAATTATTCAAATAATTATCGTTAATCTTTTGCTCTATATTTATCTTAAGTAGCGTACAAAAGTTTTGAATATCCTGTTAGGAAATGAGACTCATGCTCGCTTGGACCATCGTCCCGCGCATTTATGTATTAAATATGCATTTTAATTTTGGTGTGGAAAAAGAAGTGCTGCTCGGCATGCGAGATTTTGTTATTCAAGCAAGGATGACTGTGCTAATTTGGCGCGAGATGTTTTGGCCTCAAAAGGGCAGTGCACTACGCTCACCTCGCTTCCAGACGTGTGACTGTGCACAATTTAGAATTTGCGAAAATCTCTTTTCAGCGAATCTCTCTCTCGCTCTGTCGAAAATCAAATTTCAGCTGCCTCGTGGTCGCGCCGCAATTTTACACCTCGCCAATGACAACAACTGATTGCAGCGAGCGAAACACAATTATTAGTCGTATCATCGGTGCGTATCTAATGTCCCGGAATGCAATAGTCCTCACAAAGGCCTGCACCTGAAAAGTTGAAAACGCTCTGCCGTTGTCCGCCTGTGCAAAAAAAAAACACGCTTCCCTCATCCCATGTAAAGTTTCGATTTGAATTTTTTTCTGCACAGTTTTGATCGTGTCCTCAGTAATCGCGGAAACGGGTTGGACGCGTGGGAATTTTATTGAGCCCCGACTTTTATTTATCATCCTGATTGCAATACCGTTAAACAAATAGCTTTTAATTGTAATCTGCTCTCAGTCAGTAGAATTTGAGGCCATTCCCTCTCTTATATTTTCTCATAAATTCACTGCTAATGCATAATGCAGATAGCGACCAATCGATCCTTTAAAACTTCATGCAGATAAGCCGCGGTCGCATTATTGCTTTTTGCACTTGGGATCTTTATGCGCGTTGCTATTATTATTATTATTCGCCGCAGGTTAGATAAAAGTTAATTGATGCCCGATTCTCATTAATAAATAAACACACTCGGCCGTTCAATAACAATAAACAACTATCGCTAATTAAAAGGAGCGAAAAAATGTTAATTGCCTCTTCATGGAACGGCGGAGGTCAAGGTACGCGTCGTGTTTTCTGGGTTTCGAGTGTGAATGTGCAGGAAACATCACAGAATCACAAGATTTTCTTTTGTGAGTTGAAGATCCGTTTGGTTAATAACTCCTCCCACGATGAGTTCGGACTGATAAAACTCGCACTAAATCTCAAGTGATCGTTCATGTTCTTCTTTTTTCATTGCTCTTGACGTTGCCCTTGGCCCTAAAAAAAACTATTACGGCTAACTGTTCTTGTGATTTTTTTTTGCCGTTCCCATAGTTTGCAGATTCAAGCGAGTATAAATTGGCAAGGGTCAAAACTCAACTCGTAATTAATAATACTAAAAAATTTAACATCACTATGTACTTAAAATAAAGCTGTGCCTTACGTAAGTTTTATCGAGTTAAATGATGTTTTAAAAATAAATGCTAAAATTAGGAAATTATATAAAATGTAAACAAATATATTGAAATATTTGTCTAATATTTGATTTAAAAAAAAAAATTAAAATTACCAGGAGAGATAAAAATTAAAAGCCTCAAATCGGACTTAAATTTCTAAGCGGTCCACTGTTGAAAATTGACTGACCAGTTCAGCTCAACATTTTACAATCTGCATTCTGCATACAAAAGTGCAAGAAAAAAAAATAACTTTGCTTGTCCTTTTTTGGTTGATATTAAGGAATAATTTCCACTTCTTCAACAGTACAATTTTGATCACCTATTAAACCGTATCCTGATTTTACTCAAACAGAGATTCTTATTTCAAAAATTCATTATTATCTATTAAAAATCAAATATTTATGAAATTTTTTATTCCATATTATTAGTTTCAAGTAAATTTATTTTTGTATTCAAAAGTAATTTGAAAAAAAAAATGTCTGCATTTTTGTTTCAGAACGCAACATCGAGCCTGGCTACCGGTCGGTGATGCAAGAGAACGCCTTGATCGTCTCCCTGCAAATGTTCAACCTGATCTTGGAGCGGTGCGCCGATCTCTTTCCAGCGCCGGCCGCCCCCGTGACGAAAATCCAAGAGCTTGGTGACGTCTCCGAGGACCTGCAGACCCTGTTGCCGGCCATCAAGGTGAGTGGAAATAAAGAAAGAAAGAAAGACTCACGCCTACCAGGGGTGGATTTTTATATTATCCACCGATTTATTATGGTGCTCGTAATTATTCTAATTTGTTTGATAGCGCAAAGTGGCAATAATAATTTAGTCTCTCTCTTTCGTGCTGATTAGTTTACGCCTTGGCGTGTGTGTGTGTATTTGCTGAACGTAGGTGTGTGTTTGTTGCAGGTGTGGTGCGACTGGTTGTTATGTCATACTGCAGTGTGGAACCCTCCGCCTTCCTGCGCCGACTACATCGTGGGGTACGTCCACTTAATTATTCGCACCGATACGCTGCGCGAATGCAAGCATGTCATAATGGCCTAATCTGCATATATCACCGACGACGAGGCTTTGAACTCAAAAGGGAACATCGCCAGTCAAAAGTCGCTTTTATTTTTATTCAAACTGGAAATAAAACTACGGCTGATAATTTTTTTAATATTCTAATTGAAATAATGATTGAAAAGGTTAATATAAAAATATGAATTTTTTTTAAAAACTGAAATTTATATATTAGTTTTATTACAATTATAATAATTTGATATTCTAAGATCATTTTTTATAATATAATTTTCAATTTCTCTTGATTGAGAAAGTCCTTGAGTATTTTTAGATACTAAATGGTGATCTTAAATAAATACAAATTTACTAGCTGTGCAGGTTGCCTAATTTTAACAGCTGAATTTGGTTTCAGTAGTTTGTAGGAAAAATCAAAGATTTAAATTGAGTCTGGAAATTGTCATTTTTAATTGACAATTAGAAACAGGTGATGTTCCCTTGTCAGTCAGAAACAGCCCTGTGGCGAATGCTTTTATTTATTTATTTTATTTTATCTGCCGAGACAAGAATTAATGGCGCGAGTATGTTGACTTTTTTTCACTCACTCACTCGTTCGGTGCAGTGTGCGTGCGAATCTCCTTCTGCTTCTTCTCTTTCAAATATATTTTTTACGACTTAATTGCGGCCGTTGTCAACACAAGAGTGTTATGGTTTTTTCTCCGTAAGGAAACGTACGCGATTAAATTTTCGCCGCGGGTGCGACTTAATGATAATCCACCTGGTCGGTGATTTACGACAGGATGCGATGGCCACGCGTGTGCGTTTTGCATGCGTCTCGCTCATTGACGCGTTTGTCCGATTGCAGGCCCCCGGGCGACGCGTGGACCCGTTTGGCCAATTTGGTCAATCGGCTGGAGAGACTGGACCTGTCGGCGCTTGAGCTGTCAACAAAAAAGCTTGAAGGTACGGAAAACTAAAAAATAATAAATGATGTTTGTTCTCCCAAACCCAGACTTGTAATTGAAGAGTCTGGGATTGAAAAAAATGTGCGTAAAGAATGTCACGTTTTATAAAATTTTCTAAAATTACTTACTTTTTCTGGGGGAAAAAGAATTGCTGCTTCTCACAATCAGTACCGAAATACCAAAGGGTATATATTTTTTGGTATCGTTTGATTCCAAGCAAAAAAAAAAATAATAATAATATGAAAAAAACTGTTAAAATAAATTAATTCTTCTATAAAATTATCAATTATAAAATTTCCATGATTGCCTGAAATGCGTTATATAATATATAATTTTTTTAAATTTATCCAGAATTCCTTCTAAGTTTTGCATCGCGGCAGAGGCGTTTTTAATGAATTTGTGCATATCAAACAGGTTTTAATGACATGCAAGAATGCGATTGATCAAACTGGGAAAGAAAGTGAGAGCCTCTTTTACAGAGGTGTTAAAGGTGTTGGGCGTTCACCTGATCACGAGCTGCACTAACACTCTTTTTATGCAAATGCGACAACTGAAATCGAAATTAAACGTTCGCTTTCGTCTCGTTAAGGTTTCGAAGTGCTGAAACTGCCCGAGGACATGGCGCTGGCGGGATTCACCCCGCTCATGTACAACATGCAGGAGTTGGTCTACGTTCCTAAAAACCTGGACATGGTGCGTCTCCCTCACTTGCAATCTTTTGTTAATTTTTTTCTCTTTTCCGTATTATTTAGATTTTTTGTTTCGTTTCTTGGTTTTAATTTGGTTTCGTAATTTAGGCGTGTGTCTTACCAAGTAATTTTGATGTCCAGGAGTTGGCTTACAACTGTCTGAGAATCAAAAAGGTCCAGTTCTTTGGCTCTGAGTTTCTGTGCGGGGTAGACCCTCCAGTGCTCAAGCTGCAGCGATGGGACAACGAACGCAGCCTCTACATTTCCCTGGTCGACCCAACAAGATCGCCGGGCGACACCCCGCCTCAGACTAGCCTCTCTGACCTGGTCAGTAAAAAAATAAAAAAATTAATAAGTGCTTCTGTTTAACATGAACATGGAAATAAATTTTGCAGAGTGATTTGGAGAGAAAATTGACTGCCAACGACGTGGAAAATGGAGAGGCCGTGGCAACCAAGATGACCCCGACCAGTCCTTCGGAGACCTCGTCTGAAATTAAAAGTCTGCTATCCAGAAAGGAGGAACTGACACGGGCGCATCAAATGCACGAAAGGCACCGCCAGCAAGCACAGGTAAGAATATTAATTTTTCATAGATTCCTTAAAAAAAAAAACAGCAACTAAAATTAAATAATAAAAAAATACGGAAATTATAATACTTAATACAGGGCCTAACATTTTTTTTTTTAAATTACTCGCAATTAAAATAATTTATTATTCTACATTTATATTTGGATGAAAAATTGGGACAAATATAATTCAGGGAAAAACGGCCTAACGGTGCGGTTATTGAGTCGGGATTATCATAAGTCTATTGATCGGCGGTCATGCGTTCAAATCTCTGTTCTTTGTTTGTGCATTGTGGACGCGGCCATTGTCGGCCCCGATCTTGCATGGGAACACACGCACCTCTGGGTGAGAGGTTAGCGAGATGTGCCGTTGCTCCTTTGCGACGACACGATTTTCATGTCGAAAATGCGCTTTTCGCCCCCGACATTTTCCGCCTTCATCGGACACGGCTGCTGTTAGAGATGCAAATTACATCGCGAGCATCTCTTTTTCTTTCTTTCCTCCATCACGAGGATAACATGCCATAAACAAATCGCACTCACAACAAGCGTGTTTGCTATCAGATGAAGTCATCTTCGTCATAATCCCGCGCACTCGTGTTGTTGTATTTAGATTGGCACCCCGATCAGCCTTTCAACAACAACGCTTCTTTCTTGCTTGCTTCATTTGCTTACATCCTCGGTGCTCGCGTGAAATTATTAATTGCGCGGCCATTAGCACGAGTGGCAAGGTCGGCTTAGCTAATGTCATAATTTTTCACTCGACCGTGAGTCGTTGGTAATGATTTGCCGAAATTTGTTACGAGATGACTTTTTAATTGGTCATGATAGGGCTTGAGAAAATCATGCGTAATTAATATAATGTTTAAAAAATGATTGAAGTACAATTCACTTTCATGTGAAGCATTTGTGGGGGATTAGATAATCTGAACTGCAAAATTTGTATTTAATAATTTCAGTGCAGTTTTCATCTGCAGCTGATCTGCAGATATTAATTTTAAAGTACACACTGTTTATTATAAAAAATACATTTTTCCATTTCCCAAATTTTTTTTCTAAAATTGAGTTTACAAGTTAAAGCTATTATATGGCTTTGATTCATTGTAAATTATTTTAATTAATGGAATTAATAAAAAAGAAATGTGGAAATGAACGCCATCGAAATCACTCCGGACTGCTACACCTCATTAAAAATAGAATATTTTGGTGCCTAAAAATATTTAGTAAAATTGCATAAATTTTAGCTAGAGAACTTTGTAATCAATTTTTACCTTATTTGTTCAGGAAATAATGGGAAAAATATGTACAGTTCCTCTCTTGTGTTATCTACGTCTAACTAAGTAATCAACGGGCCTGTCCTACAAACGTTTATCTTTGGAAATTTGCACCTGAACTTATGACCTCCGGTGCGTGAGGAACCTGGCGCAGGAGCGATTATTTAGTTTACTGCACATTTCCGGTAGCTGCGTGATTCGAGACTAATGGTTTCCCCAAATAGTCATTTCGGCGGAATCCACGTGGTCTGTATATAATTACGAGAGAGCAGCGAGGCGCCAGCCAAGAAAAGTAGCTCGGCCAGGCAGACGCTGCAAAAAAGTGCAAATTATTCTCTCAGGGCGATAATTTATTTTGGTCCGGTGTAATTTCGTTTCAACAGCAGTCAAACGAGAACAATAATGTATATTAAAATAACATTCAGCTGCGGTCAGTGTAGTAAAAAAATAAACCCGAGTGGCATACTTCCATCGAAGAGGATGGAGAAAAAATTGGAATATTATTTTAACTGCAGCACACATGGTGTTCATATTAAATTTCGTCTGGTAATAACCGCGTTTGATGCACAGCCGGCCAAAACCGTTAGCAGAATGCATTTTATTTTACAACGTGCGCGCGCGTCCGTGTGTGCAGCTTTTCGGATTTATTGGTGTTATTACCTAATACACCTCGGCTGTCATTACCCAGCTATTTTTTCGTCCGGCGCGCCGAATAACTTATTAAATGTTGCGCCGACGAATCACGACTAACCAAAAACAATAAAAGAAACACATTCCTTTCAGATGGATCTATTTTTATATGAAAATGCACCATGTGCCTGGTGACCCACTAAAGTCCCAATTATACTACGTGTCCACTTCTGGAAGGATGGAGACCGAGTCTTGGAAATATTTCGAGTTGAATTGAAATGCAAATAAATGAAAGAGGCTTGCTTGATCGCACACTAATGGGCCGTGCATCCTTTTGGAGAAAAAGGTTCACACTCGACGGATCATGAAGTAATGGCAAAATATTCAGCACTGGCCGGGAAATATTATATTTTTAATAAAAACCAGGGTCATTTAATTTTCTTGGATAGTTAACAGATCTTGTTAAACGGGTTTAAATATGAAAGGATCTTTTTGAAAATGAAGTAGATAAATTGAAGTGCAAGTTTTTTGTGAGGTCAAATATTTCCAAAATTGTTCTGCAATATCTGATTTATGAAACAAATAGTGAACTCTTCAATTAATAATGTTCAATGAAGCTACAATTAGTTTTAATTTAAATTGAGTTATTAAAATCACTGAATATTACTTTTTGCCAAAATTCGCCTTTTCTACCCAATCTATATCTTAATTTTAAATTTTAATACTTTTAAAAACTTCACCTAAATCGTTTTTTTTTTTTTTTAAATTACCAACACATTGAAAAAAATATTTCCTTAAAAACTTCAAACGCTTTGCTTTTGGAATACTAAAAAATTGAACCATTTTAACTTTGTTTTCTGACCTTTCGCATCAAAATAAGTCACCTGAATTGGCATTTCGGATAAAATAACAAATTTATCCAAGAGTATTTATTCGTTCTCCATACACGTTCCTATAATATTGTGCTGAATTTCACCGATTCTCGGAACCGTTCAGAGACAAAATCTCCGCTTTGTCCGCAGCAATTGAGTCATAAACCACGCATCGGTGTGTTATCGCCTCTCGCACTTTTCCTTGACTGCACCAAGCGGCTGTCACGGGCAGATAGCTGGGCGGTTTTGCGATTTATTCGTGCACTTAAAGGGTTGCATATCCGTCCCGTTCACCGCGAACCACATTATATATTTATTTGGTACATAATCCGCTGGCGCGCGCGCGAGTGAGCAAAAGAATGAGAAACAAACAGCGAGCTAGAGATGTTTGTACATAATATTGTATGCAAATCGAGAGGCTACCTCAGCCGGCCACATCCTGATGCACTCAACTTCCCACTTTGGGCTCTGCAGCGTTTATTTATATTTATTTTCTGTGTGCTGCACCTACGCTGCAGCGCGGCGGATCCTTCTTTTTCTCTGCTGCCGCTTTACGCTTTATGACTCTCGCAGGCGAGATGTGCAGTGCAGATTACATCATGTGTGCTGTGGTGGAGAAGAAGAAGAAGTATCGGCGAGTCGCTTGCCCCCGTGTTTTATGGTCTCGCCTCCAATTTATTTCGACGTGCTCTCGCGGCGGATTATATTTGACCTGCTGCAGCTCTCGCTAGCTCGGATATCATTTTCCACCTGATAAATCTGCGCGCTTTTCGCCCTTAAGTATGTCTGCTTTACAAGCGGAAAACACGCGAGAAGCGTAATATTAGTCTTCGAGCGTAAATTTACCATCATTTGATTATATATGAATATTTTAAACGATAAATCAAATCACCTCAAATGAGCCATAAGTTTTGTTTCAATAATTCATACCGTTTCATTTAATAAAAGGGCGTTTAATTAGATATTTGGAAACGATTTTATATTTATTAATAAAACAAATCAACTGAAAACTCTATATGATGATTTATTTAAGTCAATTGAGGCACTGTGGGATAGCTTTAATTAATCTCGAGAAATTAATTTTTACAAACTAAAATTATTTTTATACTTTTATATGAAATTTTTAATAAGTTCTTTTACTTAAAATCAGATAGTATGTAATGACAATTTCCATAACTCGTAAATTTTTATGCCAAAATAAAAATTTTGTAAAATTGAAAAATGACCTCAATTAATTACTTTATAAACTTCTTTAATAACTTAACATTGAAATTGAACTTTTGCTGTGTATATGGCCCAAGTTAAATTTTAATGACTGACCCCTGCAACGGTATATAATAATCTGAAAATTTGTAGCCACATCCTCTTTTCAAACTCCGTTAAATTCCACTGAAAATTAAAAAATGTTACGGCATGAAAATAAAATATATCGTGAAGATGTAATTTCTCGTGAAGAAATTTAAGTTTCCTCCCCGACTTATCCACAAATTATATGATTAGTTTTGAAGCTTGGAATTTAAGCCCTATTAAATTTTCGCATCCACTTAAAAAGCCGTTTAAACCTTCTGACATTTCATCGTTCAGGTTCGCAAGTCGATTTTTCGTGAGGTGGTCTGTCTGTTCACTTGTTTTGCGCGGCTATTTTTTCTCATTCCGTTCAATTACGCGCGCAAAAAAACACGCGACACGTAAGACCACTTACGGAGCAAGATCTGCGTAGCAATAATTCAGCTGAGGCTGACGTCCTAGGTGGAGCGAAAGCATTTGAGGCATGTTTAATTCGCGGCGGCGGAATGCGCGAGCTGCTGCGTACGGATAAGTGTTAAAATTATTATCAACACGTATATCATTAGCTTTATTAGGAATGGTCAGCAAAGCGTCCGCCGTTATGTGTTACAGTTATCGATCGGCGGATGCATTTCATAAAACACACGCGACTTATTTTCTTTCCATCTTGCGGATCGAGTTTTTTGCGTATTCGGTTAATGTATGCAATGGAAAACATCACATTTGTACGGCCTCTTAAGGATAAATCGAATGCAAAGATTGAAATTTAAATTTACAGCTTGGATTGACCCTTTCTTGCCCTCGCGTCACTTTTTTAAAGTGGCGTTTAAGTTGCTTTTGGAGATAAATTTGGTTCTTCAACAAAATAAATTGATAGTCTATTAAAATACACTCTAAATTTACGTTATTTACCAGAGATAAATGTTTTATTTCCTTACTTTTATCAAGCTTAGACAGTAACCTTGGTTAAAAATTAATTATGTAAATAAAATCCCATGGAAATTTGATTCAGGAGATTTAGTATAATAAATGTTGAATATTTAGGAAAATTTTCTATTTGATCAAAATAAGTTGAATGCCAATTTTTTTTCTCACAAATCCTAAATAAAGGTTAATTATTAATTAAGTTCACTGGTCACGCCAAAGCCGATCTAAAAATATGTTCTTATCAAAATTGTTTTCTTTAATTGAAATGATCTTGTTAGGCCACCAAATTATTTGCAAGTTGAAAATGACGATTGACTTTTTTAGCAGCCTCTAAGACCAATTAACTTTTTGTTTCTAACACTAAATTACTTTCAGTTGTTTCAGCATATTCAGCAAAAACTTAAAATAATTTGGAATTTTTTTAAACAGAGTTAGTAAATCTTTCAATTGGAAATTTTCAATTAAAAAGAATTTTTATTGCAAAATTAAAAAAATCAGTGTTAGATATGCGACTTTTCTAGGATTTTCGCAATTGATCGGAAGTGTGATTGGAGCTCCGAGTCGGAACGGTCGCCCCGTCCCAAATTGATTATTTTCGGGGAATCCCGGACGATTTGCGCGCCAAAAGGGCGGTCGTGGTCGGCCTTGAGCGTCGATGTGCTTCTCGTGAGAACGGTGCAGGTTTCGCGCCACCCACGCGCTGCAACTCGCTCGAGTGCAATACCGATAATAGAGAGTCAGTGCACCCTCTCGACAATTAATTCCCGCTTTTAAACGCCGCGCACAAACGAGAGCAGGCCCTTTACACGCCTCACCAGACTTACAAAGTGCCACTTAACGAGCGCGCAGTTTATTCTCCATCGAGTCAAAAGGTGCACGCCGAGAGAGATGCGATACAAACCAATTGCTGCACTCGCTCTTGACGTCGCTTGAGAATGAACTCGGGGTGTGTTCCCAGGTCATTTGAGCACCGATTCGGCCAAATGTTCAAATTTACAACAAAATATGAACCTGTTCAAAAGTAAACTGCGATGAATTTTGATGAATCAGGTCAAACTGACTAAAAGATCGCAGGCTAGTTTGATTTCTTGGCAGTGTCAAATATAATGGAATAATTTTAGTCTGTTTTAAAATAAAATTGAAGTATAAAGTAGCAAAAGTTTATCTGCAACAGCTTTTTTTAATAATTATAGATCTTAGAAACTTTATAGGGAGAATATTCAAAATCCTTCTGATTATTGAATTATTCACATTTTTTATTTTTTTATTTAAAGATTGAAATTGTTCTATAAGATATTGATTGAAATGCTGCATTTTAAGCAAATTTCGTTGAATTTGTGTGTTTTAGGCAATTCTAGACCAGCAAGCAGGCTGCGTGGAGATGAAGGTGCGTCCGCGACTGCTGATCCCAGACACGAACTGCTTCATCGACCACCTGGAAGACCTGCAGCAGGTCGTCAATGTTTTCACGCTGATGGTGCCCCTTGTCGGTGAGTTTGTTGTTTCTGCTTTTGACGCACAGTTCGTTGGCCCCTCCCTGCTCCTTTGATCGTGGTCGGTTGTTTGACGGAAAAAATTGACAATCAAATAAACATGTTGATTGCGGCCAATTATTTTATGGCGACAGCCGCGTAATTTCATTAGACAGCTCTTTTTTCCCGCGCCGGCCGAGCGGGTTTTGTATTAGCTGCAATTATTTTAAGTGTAATGACGCGTCCGAGCACTGCCTTTTATTTTATTTGAAATTACCGCTCGCTTTGATGGATTTCATTTCACCATGCTCGTGAGTTGCAGATTTTAAATTAACAGCCCTTTAAGTGATACTTAATGTTAGTTGGGGTAAAAGGTGCTATTTAAAAATATAATAATATATGTTTAATAAAAATTAGGAACAACAATTTCAATTTAGATTTACTTTTTCAAAATTGTGATAGAAAAATTCTACCTAAAAATAGTAATACACGGTCAGGAGCGAGAAGGTTAAAATTTGGCTTTACACACGCTTCTTTGAAATGAAAATTTTGTTGCGAGTTGAAAATTTTTCCAAATTATTTGATTTTATTAAATTTGAATCTTTATTTTATGCTTTTATTTTGCAAAAAATTTAAAAACCGAGTTTTTTTATTGTTAAATATGAAGCTATCAATATGTCATTTTTAGGGATTGTTAGTTTCATAGTTTTTGATCTGAAACTCGCAACCATGTTGAAATTGGTTGAAATGCAACAATCTAGCCTTCGTTTCGCAGTTTGTATTTCATTTTTCTGCCGTAAATTTTTATGTTCCTGTCCAAATTAATTTTTTTCTCTACAAGCAATTATTTACTTTTGACAATAATTAAGACGCGCTAGACTTAATTTCGATTTGTTTACGTTTGTCTAGTAGGTTAGCAGATCAAAGCAATCATCCAAATTCGTCGAGGCGTAGTATTAAAATTGCCACTCGCCAGAATATTCTTGCGGTTGAGTCAAAACCCGCCAAATGAGATTTGATCCAACTCAATTAACTGCACCTGTAAAAAATGAACCAATTTTTTTAGAATTATTTTTATTGATCTTGAATCGTCTCCTTCTGCGGTCGGACTCATTCGCCAAAATCATCTTTTTTGCAGTTTTACACGAGCTGGAGGGTTTGGCCAGGGGCAGCAGAAGTCCCGCACCGTTGGGGGCGCCGTCGGAAAACGCGCAGCACACCAAGTATGTGGCCGAAAGGGCGGGCAGTTCGCTCGCCTTCCTCAAAAGTCGACCTCAGGGCGTCAGGTGCGTCACAACCAAGGGCGCCGTCCTGGCTCCGACGGGGGTCGCCATGGTCGAGGACTCCGGAGAACAGGTCAGTGACTACGAAATTTGTGTTTCAACTTGCGCATGTCCAATGGTTCTACTGAGCATGCGTCAATTCTAGTTTTGTTGAAATTAAATTTTATGGGGGGCAGAAAATAACGTAAGATTTTAAATAAATAAGCTAATCGTGCATATTTGGAAACAGTAAAACAAAATTTATAGTTTATACAAATTTGGCTTTTGAATTTAGAATATTAATATTAATCTTTTTTTAGAAGTTCCTAGCTTTTGTTGCGAAACGAATTAGAATTTTTTTTTAGAAAATTATTAAGAAACTTTGCTAAAGGTTTAAATAAAAATATGACAGTCATTTTGAAAACTTTGAAAGCTAATAAAACCGATTAAGCCCTGAATTGGAAATTTCTTTAATTCTTTCTGTTTTGAACCTGTTGCAGGAAATGAAAAACGACGATCGTATTCTCAACACTTGCCTTAGTCTGATCAAGACGTATTCCAGAGGAGACGAATCAACCACCGAACCCCTAAAACCAGGTTTGCACTTTTCACCGCTGCATTGCCAGAGAAAAATTTTACCCTTCCCGATTTCTGCTTCAGGCGAAACGCGACACCTTTTTCGGGAAGTCGTGCTGCTGACTGAAGACAGGAATCTGCGCGTCAAGTGCTTGGCCAGGGACGTTCCTGTCAGGACCATCAGTGACTTTTTGAAGTGGGCCAACCCGAAACCTTGAACCCAACGTGCGTCCCACCCAAGTACCTGCATCAAGCAACGGCGACTCCGGAAAGGGTAGGCAGACTTTTTTTATTATTATCTTGACTGGAGATTAAAAGGATTGATTTTGTTGTTTCAGGTTTCCAGCTGGTCTGGTTTGCTCTCGAGAAGATCATGACGGTTCAGAGAATGCCTTTTTGAATCAATTTTTACATGCCTTGTGGTAATCTAATCTGCTGCTGCTGTTGGAGAATCTAAGCCGTAGTGTTACCAAAACACTTTTCCCCCATATTACGACTTAGGCCCGCTGTACGTACTTTTCTGTCACAATTTTTGTATTTGTGTGTATAAAAAAAAAATTAGAAAGAAGAAACTCCCAATTAGAATGGTTTATAATTAATATGTTTGAGACCTTGTTTCTCGAGTTGAGCTTGTTAATGATTATTTTATGATCAGATTACTCGGCCTGCTATTTCGGGCTTATTTTTTAGCGTCGTTTTTTTACATAATTTTCCTTCTAATTTATGAAAGCATTCCTAATTTAAGTGCATCTGGTGTAATTGTGTGTTTAAACAAATCAGCGCCATCTTTTAAATAATAATAAAAAATTATTAGTGCAACAGAAGTCGCGAAAAGCGTTTTGCGAGATCTCAGTCCTTAATAGAAAATCAAAATGTGAGCCACTACTAAAGCTAACAATAATACAGCTAATTAATTCCTATTCTACCTCCCTCCGATCAGGGTTGCCCCTTAATTCGAGCAGTTAGGTCCTGCCTCCTTTAGTGATAGTCCCATGACACTCACACTTGTGTATTAATCCTCTAAGTTTGGTCTTGCCAGCTTGTTATCCTAGCTTTTGAAAAGAAATTACTAACAATACTTTTTATCACCATATCCAATTAAAGGCACCAACTAGCAAGTAACTTTGTGGCCTCAATGTATTGTAAGTCGGTACTTAATTAACGCAATTATTTTGGCAAATTACTCAACTCGTAATAGAAAAGCAATCGGTCCACCAAACTGACTCTCACTGATTACGCTCGTTAATTGTGGTCAGCGTTGATTTTCAATTCAATTGTATTTAACTAACAACAGTGGCACAATATTGCGTGTGTGTATCAATTTGTTGAAAACTCATCAAGAAATACTGTTTATGTAAAGAGCCTTGCAGAATAATTATTATGAGTAATAAATAAGTACTTTTTAAAAATTACCTGCGCTGTCTTTCATTATGACGATTAAAATCCAATTAATAAATAATTGAGTGATACGTGACATTCCTGCTTGGACTAATCCAGACGTCGGAGCGCGCGGAGACTTAAATAAGTGGGTTACACAATGAGAGTTACTGTTGTTTGATTTTTTGATACGCTCGCGCCCAAATGTGGGTCGCCAATTACGACGACGAAGGAGCATCACAAATATGTATGCTGCCGCGCGTATTATGTAACAATCAAAAATTACTGTTTGGATTTGTGGTTTTTGAAGAGCCGCTTCTGGGTCTGGAACGTGCGGGACGGAGCTTCCCTGCAGGAATAGTGGAAAATTAACAAATATAAATTTTGAAACGTTCAATAAATAGACGCAGCAGAAAAATTATTGATGCATAAAATATTACCAAAAAAATTTGCTTCCACACCAAAATTATTTCAAAATTAAATACTTAATATTTTGATCAGTTTCAAATTTTTTTCTTCTATTTTAATTTATATCTGGTTTTTCTCAAAATTGCTAAACCTGCATAAAGAGGTACGAAAAGTAGTATGGCGAGGAGGATATGGGGCCTTACTAGCCCTTTTTGACCGATTTAAGTCGCCATTGTGCAGATAAAAGTAACAATTAAACAGTGACCTGACTTTTCAGACGATTCATTTTTTTTTCCAATTTGTTTTACTTATATAAAATATTTCATTCATTTCAATGGGATTAACGATTTTTTTCTGTCTGTATATAAATGTCTATAATAATTGTAGTAATTTTTTATTAGAACTTAACCTCGAGTTAACATATGTAAAATAATTTAATCTGCATCTGCAATAAAATCTATGAAGACATGATTTTTCTTTTTTGGTGGACGGATGCCAAAAAATCTATCTGGCTCGCACGAAGGTGACAGTTAGTTATCCTCGAAGATTAATGCTCGAATGCTAATCTGTCATTCGCGCCGAGTGTGATTTTAATTCATTCATCACAACGAGGGCCATTCAACGATGGCACGATGACAAATTAATGCAGCGCCCGCCTTTCTCACATGCACCATTCATTGAAAGGATGCGATGCGAGTGCAGTTGCTTTGAGAAATATATAATATAAAAGTTATGGCGCCGGTGTTAATCGAGAAACGATGACGGCCGGCCGATAATCACGCCTAGAGAATAATAAAGCGTAAGTATAATCCTAGAGATAAATTACATAGCACCTTTGGCTCTCACGTGCGCGCAATGCTAAACAATGCGAGGAGGGAAAGAAAATTAATATATATGAAATAAATAAATATCAAGTGCGATTTTCCTCCCCAGGGCTAAATAAATTAAACGCAGCCTCTGTTTATATTTATTTACTTTGCTCCTTAGCCGATATATGTCCAGTGGTTAATTTAAATCTCGGCTGCACGCATAAATTAAGAAAGGGAATCGTTGCAATTGTGTGACAGCTGTAATTCCGAATAATAAACTCGAGGCACATCCATCATTTCTCTCTCCGCTGACCGACCACGCAGCCTTCACGCGAACACTTCCATACTGCTTACGAGAAAGAAAAACGGCCACAGGAATAATGTGCTCGGCTTAATCCTTCTTTAATTGCACACGCACGCAGCCGCATTCCTTTCATTTTTTTCTTTCAAAGTAATATTATCATTATATTGGGGCGCTGACAGCTCATTTTTTTCATTTTATTATATGAATTCTGCCCTATTTTCCATCGCAAATCCACTATCATTTTTAAACGTTTCTTCTACTTCAGAGCTGGGGTCTAATTCTGTAAGATAGAATCGTTCCATTTCTATTTCATTTTCCATTTGCTTACCCATTCTATTTCGTCGCCTTTTTTGATAACGACTTCTATTTCGCTGCCATTCCATTTCCATTTCTATTTCGTTGTCAATTTTTTTAGTTGTGCCATTTATTTATTTATTATTTAATTTAATTATTGCCTATGCTTACTGCTTACAGTGATTTTCAATATATTCAAGTCCATAAAATTTATAAAATTATATGAATTATTTTATTTTGAAAGAAAATGTATAACATAACATTTAGAGTTTGCGTTTTTCTTAAAAAATAAAGACGCGCCCCCTTAAGCGCGAATCTTTTTACGGCTCATAATTAGAGGGGATCAAGGGGATTTTTTTCTTTAATGAAATCAATTGAAATCAATTTCTTAAAAATAGGTAGAATTTAAATGCGATTTTAATGTTTTATTTAGCAAATGAGCAACAATGTATTTTATATTATTTAATTAATCGCGTGCGCTGTTTGGCAGATCGATTGGACTGTTTATAATATAATGTTATACCTAATTGCTCAAAATATTTTCCACTGATTATGAGTTTTTCAATTCATGCAGAACAACTAATCTCACTTTTTTTAATAAAATCTTAATTATAATTACATATAGATTTATTGGTCTACTAACAAAAGCGTATCCCTTTCATAGAAAGATTTTTTCTGCATCGTTTATTTGGTGCGCTTAAGTAATTGTACACCCGCGCTCTGCGCCCATCTCACATACATACATTCTTTATAATTTTTTATTGCAAAATTTTGTTTTGCGTAGTAAAAAAATTTTCAAAAGTAGCTATTTTTAACATAAAAGTTTTAAAATATGAATGCAATAAACATGATTATTATTATTATTTTTATTATTATTTATTCTTCTCGGCCTGTACAAAAATTTTTAAATTGGAGAAATAAAGAGAAGACAGGGTTTACAACTAGCAGATGTCTGCAAAAACGCCCGACATCAAAAGAGACACGGCCGCCGCGGTAAACCCATTATGATTTATTTAATACAGAACAACTAAAAAAATTAAATGTCTGTGTGTACAAATGGGTGGAATATTTTTCACTCAAATTAATTTGCTTTTTTGAATTTTCATTTTATAAATTTTCTTTCAAAAAAGTCTTTCATAAGACGAATTTATTAATTTGTTTTAAATTTCCCAGGACATGATGTTGACTCGTGAGTCTTTTGATCGGTGAATTAAATTTATTTAATAAATTGCGCCCACACTGTGGTACCACAATTTGCGCCCACAATGTGGTACCACAATTTTCGCCCACACTGGTACCACAATTTGCCCCCACACTGTGGTACCACAATTTGCTCCCACAATGTGGTACCAAAATTTGCGCCCACACTGTGGTACCACAATTCCCGCCAACACTGTGGTACCACAATTTCCGCCTACCCTGTGGTACCACAATTCCCGCCCACACTGTGGTACCACAATTTCCGCCCACACTGTGGTACCACAATTTCCGCCCACCCTGTGGTACCACAATTCCCGCCCACACTGTGGTACCACAATTTGCGCCCACACTGTGGTACCACAATTTGCGCCCACCCTGTGATACCACAATTCCCGCCCACACTGTGGTACCACAATTTGCGCCCACACTGTGGTACCAAAATTTTCGCCCACACTGTGGTACCACAATTTCCGCCCACACTGTGGTACCACAATTTGCTCCCACACTGTGGTACCACAATTTGCTCCCACACTGAGGTACTTTTGACTCAACGCCTTATTGAAATATTTTTTTATACATTTTATTGACTTGAGTATATAAAAAATCATTTGAAAATTACTGTAAGCGCATAATATATGCAATAATTAAATTAACTATATATAAATATATATAAATATGGCTCAATTATTAAAATTGACAACGAAATAGAAATGGAAATGGAATGGCAGCGAAATAGAAGTCGTTATCGAAAAAGGCGACGAAATGGAATGGGTAAGCAAATGGAAAATGAAATAGAAATGGAAATGGGACGATTCTATCTTACAGAATTAGACCCCTGCTTTGGAGCAAGTTTCGGTAGACAAGACTAAAAGTTGCTTCAGCACTTCATAGATAAATCGAAAAATATCTTTGGTATAATGGTAGAATTGCAAAAACTCCCAGAAATGGCTTCGGTTGCCTACTTTACAAATCTTTAATCGCTTGACTACAGCTCCACGTTGAACAAATATTTTTATTCTTCCAGCGGCAATATTTTTAATTTTGTAATAATAGTATTACATATTATCATAGGACTGAAAAGATAAATCATTCTAACAGAGATAGGGCTGTCATAAGAACCAATGTTATTGCGAATTGCGCAAAAGGTAAAACTATAAAATCAAGACAGAAAAGTTGACAGATTATTAAATAGTTTGAATTTTATTTTAATAAGTTAAACTGATATAGAAAATTGAAAATTTTTAATAGAAGCAATTTCTCAATAGCAATTTAAAATATTTTCCTGCATTCATATTCAACGAACATTCTTCAATTGAGCTGAACTTTAACAATCTTGCTGTAATGTAAATAAAAAAGGTGTTTAATTGAGAGGGCTTTGTTTTACTTGCACTCTAAAAAATGGTATTTTAATATTTTTATTCTGTTCTATTTTGATGATGATTGCAATATATTTAGAAAATTGTGGACTTTGCTATAAACTGCAGACAAATAGTGGGTTTAAAAATAAATTCTGTGTTGGTGGCGTCGACTGCTAAATATTCATTTTGCAAAGTCTTAAAGCGCGCACGTGTATTTCGGGGCCACACCTGGTCACGCCTTTAGCACCTCGATTATACACGAGCAAGAAAATGTGAGCGATTACCAATTCGTGGTCATGCCTAAAATCCATTAGTCTACATAATAGCCTGCCAAAATTAACAGCACACAAATCCAGGTTCACGAAAACGACGGAAAGTTCACATGCACTTGAATTCGTACGGATGGACACAAATTTGCTTGCCGCACACACGTACCAGACACACTTTATTTTTACGACCTGGCAAATTTGCGAGTGCGCGAAAAAATCCATTGCGTCGCTCATCGCATGTCGCGATCGCGCAATTGCAATAAGTTCATGCGACGTCACTGGATTGACTTAACAATTTCTCGTCAAATCCGTGGAAGGAAAAAAGAGTAAAGAGGATTGATGCTCCGTGCATGTGTGTATGCGTGTCCCTCTTTCTCACTTGCACCGTCCGTG